TGAGGCCTTATGGAGACACATGCTTGAAAAAAGGAACAAACTGCTTTATTGAGGCAAGACTGATATCCCTGGCCAGGAATCAGTGTATAATTCAATAGTTTTTAGATTTATAAAATTAGAACATTTCTATTGCCCCCCAAAGTTCCATCTTGGCCATTTATAGTTAATCTTCACTCCCACCTTCAGCCCTAGGGAAACTCTGACCTAATTTCTGTCTCCATAAAAGTGCCTTTTCTTGGTATTTCATACAAGTGGAATTGATAATAAGTAACTTTTTGCATCTGGCTTCTTGCCCTTAGTATGATGTTTCTGAGGTTCACTCATGTTTTGGCCTATTTCCGCCATCTGTTCTTTTTTATCACCAGGTAGCACATTATGGGGTGGATAACCCAAATTCTGCTCACCCATTCACTAGTTGATAGCTATATTTATATTGTTTCCAGTTTCTGGTCATTAAGAACAAAACAGCTCTGAACGACAGCGTATCTGTCTTTGTGTGCACATACCTCCATTTCTCTCAGGTAGATTTTCTACACGTGCAATTGCTGGGTCATATGACAAGTTATGTGTTTTAAGAAACCACCAAACTGTTTTCCCCAGTGGCTGTGCCATTTTACATTCCCAACAACAACATACCAAGAGGCAATGTCTCTACATCCTTGCCAGAACTTGGCATTGTCTGTGTTTTGGATTATGGCCATCGTAGCCGAGGGGCAGGGGGATCATATTCTGGTTTTCATTTGCTTAATTTGCTAATGACTAATGATATCGGACACCTTTCACATACTTGATAGCCACTTGTATATCTTCTTTAAGGAAATACCTGTTCAAATCCTCTTTGCTCATTTTTACTTGTGTTATCGGTCACCTTATTATTAAGTTATGAGAGGTATTTATATATTTTGGAAATAAGTCTTTTATCCATTATCTAATTTGCAAGTATTTTCTTTTAATTGAGGGCTTATCTTTTTATTGTCTTAATGGTGTCTTTTTGGAACAGCCAAGATTTTTAATTTTTTCATTTCTTTCATTTATGAGTCCTATGTTTGGTATCACTTTGCCCAACCCATGGTTACAAAGATTTTCCCCTGTTTTCTTCTATACTTTTTTGTAATTTTAGTTTTTACATTTAGATCTCAGATCCATTTTTAGTTACTTTGGGGAATAATGTGAGGGAAGGGTCTTGGCTGATGTTTTTGTATGTGGATACACATAGCACTATTTTTTGAGAGACTACACTTTTCCTTTAGAATTATCCTGACATTTTAGTAAAAAATTAATCAACCATAAATTTAAGGATTTATTTCTAGGCTTTTAGTTATGTTACACTGATCTCTATGCCTATAGAAGTACCAATACCTCAGTGCCTTGGTAGCCCTCACATTAGAATAAGCTCTGAAAACAAGATGTGTAAGTCCTCTTTGTTCTTTATCAAAATTCATATGCAAATATGTAATCTGGGATCAGCTTGTCATTTTCAATTAAAAAGTGTGCTATTTTAAAAAAAAAAAAGAAACAAAAAAGATGTGTGCTGTTTAATTTTGACATGTTCAGAGATTCCCCTGCTATTATTTTGTTAGCAATTTCTCACTTGATTCCACCACGGTCCTAGAACACACTCTGTATGATTTTAATTCTTTTCAGTTTGCCGAAGTTTGCTTTATAACTTAGCACAAAGTCTATCCAAATGAATGTTCCACGAGGGCTTGAAAAACAAATATGTTCTTCCATAGTTGGTTGGAGCATCTACTATGCATCGACTGCTTGGTTGATCCTGTTGTTCAGATCTTAAACATCCTTGTGAATTTTCTGCCTAGAGCAGTCTATCAGTTACTGAAAGGGACATAGTGAATTCTCCCACTAAAACTAGAGATTTATTTATTTATTCTTGGCTCTTTCAGTTTTTTGCTTTTGGAATTTTATGGTTCTATGGTTTGATGTGTGCACATTTAGGAATTCTATGTTTCTGCTGGATTGATCCTTTTATCATCTAATGTCCCCCTGAAGTCTATTTCCTCAGATTCAGTATATCCATTCCTGATTTATTTTATTGTTTGTGTAGTATCTTTTCCTATCCTTGTACTTTCAGTATACTTGTGCTACTGTGTCTGACATGGATTTCTTTTAAACAGCATATAGCTAGATCATACTTTTTGTCTACTGTGTCAATCTCTAACTTTACTGATGTATTTACATTTAAAATAAATGGTATGTTAGTGATTATCATACCACAGTCATCTTAACGTTTGTTTGGTTTGTTTCCTGTGGTTCTCATTCCTGTTTCTTTATGTTACTTGAATATATTTTAAATGCTGTCTTGATTTTTCTATAGTTCTTCAGTGTATGTATATTTCTTTTGGTCTCTTTGGTTTTTGTAGTTATTTTAATGGTACCTTTGGCCTTATATCTGGCATCGATATTCTACCACGTCATTGGACTTTTGATGTTGACTTGGGTCATTTTACCTTCCTCACTTTTAAAGAGCATTGTCTTGAAAATCAGATGACGTTATAATTTTTGTTTCAATCATCAAATATGATTTTTAAAACTCATGGCTATTCATGGAAAGAATAGTCTACAGCATATACTCATTTTTTTTTTTTTTTGCTCTACTATTCTTTCTTCTTTCCTAATACTTCAAAGTAAGTTATCTTGTGTTTCAAGAATTTCTGCTAGTCATTATTTTAATGTGACAGCTTCTTTTAGTTTTTCTTCATCTGAGAACATCTTTATTTTCCTTTCATTCCTGAAAGATAGTTCTGCTGGATGTAGAGTTTGTGATTAATAATTCTTTTCTATCAGTGTTTGAAAAATGTGCCACATTCTTCTGCTTCCATGGAGTTGAAAGAGATATGCTCTGATACACAGTCATTTAAATTTGTCTTCTGTTTCATTATAAGGTGTCTTTGTGTGGACTTCATTGGGTTTATCCTGCTCCGTATTTATTTGGTTTCATAAATCTTTGTCTTTTGCCAAATTTGGGGCTTTTTCAGCCATTCTTTCTTTCCTCTTTCATCTCTACTCTGTTCCTCCTCTCCTTCCGAAATGCCAGAGACAGAATGCTATACCTTTTGTCCCATAGGCCATTAAGGAATGTCTACCTTTGGTTTGTTTTGAATATATTTTGTGTTTGTTGCTCAGATTAGGCAAATTATAATACCTATCCTCAAGGTCACTAACATCTCTGTTTGCTAACATCTCACTGACATCTCTGCTCTACTATTGAGCCCAACCGGTAAGTTTTTATTTTATACTTTTTAGTTCTGTCATATCCAGTTGTTTGGGGTTTATTTTATAGCTTCTCCATATCGGCTGAGATTTTCTATTTTGCCATTTGTTTTAAGATAACGTGAATTGATCATTAAGTCATTTTTATGGAAACTTCTTTAAAATCTTTGTCAGATAATTCCAATACCTGATTCATCTTAGTGTTTATCTGGTTAATTATCTTTTCTCGTTGAGATTGTGATTTTTGTAGTTTTTAGTATGATGAATGATTTTTTATAGTATCTGATTAGGAGATCCTGGGTCCCAGGTGAATTTTTCATTTTTGTAGTCAGTCACTCTATTTAGGTTTACATACAATCCTGGCTTATTTCTGCAGGCTATACTTCCAATGATCTTTTCATTTGCAGAGGCTTTATTGTATTGGTTTGGTCTATTTGGTTTAGCTGGTGCTGCTGCCTGAGAGGATGAGGGAGATTTCCCCAGGTTGGGAAGCCAGATATCTCTCGGTTTGGGAGGGAAGGCCCATGAAGATGAAGAAGCCTCCTCCATGGGTCATTTGCTGTGTGTAGATGCCATTTGCTGGCTCTGTCCTTCATCCCTGGTGTCACCTGGTTGGGAAGTGGAGGCTCAGGCCTGGCAAGAAAAGAAAGCCCTTCCCGCTGGGGTCTATTGTGGGAAGGGCTCCTTATTCACCCTCCTTGCTAGTGATGTCAGGCTCATAGGAGGTTTTTAAAGCAACTCCCATGTAATCCAGGGAAGGAATGAGCTTACTTCAATGCTCTTGGGTGCCAGGTTGGGATAGGGAACAAACAGGTTAGGGTCCCTTTCTGCTGTTGGATGGGGAAACATAAGATGTCCTACATCTGTGTTATTTCTCCAGTCCTGGGATCCCTAGTCAGTTTTCCTTCTTTTCATTACCTTTCAAAGTCTTCCTTTGATGGTCTCTTGTTAGTTCTAGTGTTGACAGTTTTGCTTAGTGGAGAAGAAAAGGAAGATGTTGATCTATGCCATGTTGTCTGGATTAGAAGTCCCCAGTTTTTCAATGCTTTTTTTTGAGACAGAGTCTCATTTTGTCACCTTTGGTAGAGTGCCCTGGCATCATAGCTCACAGCAACCTCAAACTCTTGGGCTCAAGTGATTCTCTCACCTCAGCCTCCCAAGTAGCTGGGACTACAGGTGCCTGCCACAACAACCGACTATTTTTAGATATGGGGGTCTCGCTCTTGCTCAGGCTGGTCTCAAACCCATGAGCTCAGGCAACCCATCCACCTTGGCCTCCCAGAGTGCTAGGATTACAATCATGAGCCACCACACCTGGCCCTGTTTTTCAATGCTTTGAGTGTACAGTATCTCCTATCATTATTGTTCTCTGTGAGGTATATCCCACCAACTAAAAGTGGTGCATAGGAAAGGTCAGCACTGGTGAAGGGAATCAGAAGTGTCTGTGGTCAAAGATATCAAAGTGCAAGGTCCTCTTAAACAGAGCAGAAGCCCAGTAGAACCACACACCAAGCCATCTCCAGCATGCATGTTGAGTCAGCATGAGCTACGTGTGCTCTGAACCCTCTGGTGTGATAACCAGATGTTCCAGGACTCCGGAAACATACAAGTACATGAAGAACACACATCACATCTTTAGGCTTATTCAAGGACTAATATGAAGACCTTTAGCTAAAAATACAGATTCAACCCATTTCTCAGTAATATCAAATGAAAAGATTGATAAAAAATAGAAAAGAGCTTCATTTGAAAAAAGGAAGAAAATATCTTACCTGTTCTGAGGGCATTTCACCAAATAATGTCTCACTGTAAAAGGAAAAATAATAGAAGATGGTAAATCAATGCTACTTCAGATATGTATGCTCCAAGAATTACCAGGAAATTCAGAGAACAAGCTGTTATTCAAGTGTTGGTCTATACCAGCCAACTCTCAGGGTTTGGAGGAGTACAGCATAGGCACCACAGTGAGGTGACATTGTTCCAGCCCTGGAGGTAGCCGCACACAAAGCCATATACCCCAAACTTCCTCCTTATGTAGCCCAAAATGTTCACTTTTGGCTAAAGCAGGTTGAGTTAGGTTCTAATCTGCTCTCCAGAGCAATAGATTCACCCAACTTCCAAACTTAGTTACAAGAAAGTCCTCTTGGGGGAAGATGGGACAACTCATCTCTACTTAGAAGATCCTTATAAAGAGGGTTTGCATTCTGTTATTAATGCTCTTCTAGAACTGAAAAGATGCCCTTGGAAAAACAGTCTTACTGCAAGACATCCTTTTACAATATATCTTTAAGTAATTACTTGATGATGGGAATCAGGAGTAATTCTGCATGCAGAGAAAAGTAATTCTCTATGTAGAGAAAAAAATTAGAATACCTAGGCACTTAATTCAACAAGGGTCCAATCTGTGGCTCACAACGGAATACATCAAATAGAAGTAAAGCTGATGGAAGGCTCAGGAGGGAGGATCGTTTGAGGTCAGGAGCTTGAGACTGGTCTGAGAAAGACCCCATCTCTACCAAAAATATAAAAAATTAGCAGAGTGTAGTGGTGTGCACCTATAATCCAAGCTACTCAGAAGGCTGAGGCAGGAAGATCACTTGAACCTAGGAGTTTGAGGTTGCAGTGATGATGCTACTGCACCCTAGTAAAATTGAATATATTTTCTTCTCATCAGCTCATGGATTATGCTCCAAGATAGATCATATCTTAGGGCACAAATTAAACCTCAATGAATTTAAAAGGATAGAAATTATGTCTTGCATCTTTTTGGACCATCACAGAATAAAAGTAGAGCACAACTCCAACAAAAATCTTCATCCCCACACAAAGTCATAGAAACTAAACAACCTTATACTGAATGACAGTTGGGTCAAGGAGGAGATAAAGAATTAAATCATTCTATTTCTCAAAAAAAACTACAATGAAGCCACAAGCTATCAAACCTTCAAAGGCAGTCCTAAGCAGGAAATTTATCACCTTAAATGCCCACATCCACAAAACAGAAATAGCACAAATCAGCAACATAATGAACCATCTCAAGGAACTGAGAAAGGGCAATCCAATCCCAAACCTAGCAAAAGAAAAGAAATAAGCAAAATTAAATCAGAATTAAATGGAATCGAGAACATAAGAATCATTCAGAAGATCAGCAAAACAAAAGGTTTGTTCTTTGAAAATATTAATACAATAGATAAACCCTTGGCCAGATTAACTAGAAATAGAAAACTAAGATAGAGCTCTAATAACCTCAATCATAAATGAAAAAGGAGAAACAACAACAGACACCTCAGAGGTACAAAAGATTGTCACTGATTATTACAAAAACTGTATGCTCAGAAATTTGAAAACATGGAGGAAACGGACCAAGACCTCAATAACCTTGTCATTACTCCTATTTTACAATAGAGGATGCTAAAGCACAGAGAAGGCTGCCATAGCAAAGAACCACAGACCAGTGGCTTTAACAACAAAACTTTTTTTCTTATAGTTCTGGAGGCTGGAAGTCTGACATCAAGGTACCCACTGGGTTGGTTTCTCCTGTGTCTTTGTATATACCCATCTTCTCCCTGTGTTCTCACATAGTCCTTCTTCTGGGTGTCTGTGTCCTAACATCCTTTTCTTATAAGGACATCAGTCATGTTGGATTGGGGCCTACCCTGATGGTTTTAAGTTTATTACCTATTTTTAAAGACCCTCTCTCAAAATATCATCACGTTCTAAAGTACTAGGCATTAGTTCTTCAACATATAAATTTTAGAGGGGACATAATTCAACCCATAACACCAGTTGTGTGACCTTGGACATGTTTGTTAACTTCTGTGTGCTGAAGCTTATGGGAAAGCCAAGCCTAGGAAACCCACCAGGGAATGGAGGAGACCAGGAAGAGAAGCAGCCCATGAGGGGCACACAACAGAGCCTGACCCCACCATGGGCCATGGCCTCACACCCAGGCATGTGACCTGGAAGCTGTGGCTCCACACAAGACATCATCTTGCACAACAATAAAAACTCAGGATGCAGCTCTTTTTGAATGGTGATCTTTGGAACTTTGAGGCTCTAAAAGGAAAGTCTGTTTCTCTCATCTCTCCTGCTAAGAAGCAGCAGGCTGTGGGTCACTCCCTGCCACCAATTTTTCTCTTCCTCCCCTGCTAGGACAACTGCTCATAGCCCCCAGCCCACTGTCAAACCACCCAGATGTCATGTCCAGCCCAAAGACTTTGTCTTCCCCATCTGGACCTGTCCCCATCACTATTGCCACCCCAAGTTGGGTGATTTGGGGTAGAGGCAGCAACGCCTTCCATCCATCCTATTAGGCCCTATGGCAGAGTTGGAATCCCCCAGGGCATGCTCACCTTCTTCCCATCCTCCCCACTACTCCCTTCCATCTTCTTGTGCTCCCCAGGCCCTGCACAGACCCTGCAACAGAACCTATGGATATTTCTGCTCTATTCACCATGTTCCCCACTCTGGGCAAGGATTGTGACAGCCCCAGAACCACAGGAGGTTGCCCTCCTTCATGCCAGAAAGTGCCCAGGAGCATCTGCAGAGTAAAGGGTCATGGTGTCCTCCCCACCTCCTGTGGCCCCAGCACAGGCAGGGAGCCCTGCAGCCTGGAAAGCCACCACTTGTGTTAGGGTCCATTCTATGCCCCTGGCCTGCATTTTCCTGGGGCCTGGGGAGAGACAGGACCAGAGATGTGCCCCTTCTTACACACAGTCCTGTGCTCACACCATGCCAAACTTAGGAGTCTAGCCCTGCCAGGAGGCAGTCCTGCCCTAGCAGCCTCTCCAGGCCAGCATACTTATAAAGACAAGTACCTGTCAGTCACCAAGTAGGAAGCTGAGAAGGAGAAGCAAGTCCTCTAGCTACCTTTCCCCTAGTACAAACAGCCATTTAGTGGCCACATCCAATCAGTGAAAAGCACCAGCCTACGAAGTTGTCTGTCTAGAGACCTGCTGTCTTAAAGGGTAGTTGAGAGTTTCAGGTAGATTTCAATCTCTCAAAATGTGTCCAATCCAAACTGGAGCATGCTGGAAGTGTGAAATGACACCCCAGATGAAGAAATCACACCTCAGTATGCAGAAGGAATGCAACCAGTCTCACTCATAAGCTTTATGTAGTGATACTTGTTGAAATGACATTTTGGATGTGGTGGGTTAAATAAGAGATATTAAAATTAATTTCACATGTTTCCTTTTACCTTTTTAACACGACTATTAAAAAGTAGTCAGATCACACCTGTGACCTACGTCATATTTCCCATGGTTCAGCGTGCAAAGGGCCTTCACTTGCCTGAGCCACTGGGCTGCAGATGGTAAAGGGACACCAGGAAAGGTGAACCGCACACACAAGAGGGGCCCCCTGAGCTGCCCACACCCCATGGTTTTACAGCCTCGAGAGATAAAAAGAACCCTGCCCCCATGTTGTGGTGAGAAGACTTGGGGGCTCAGAATGTAATTTGTTTGGGGCTGAGAATATAATTTATTTGGGGTCTCAGTAGACCTGCTTTATAAATGAGGGAGCTTGAATCCAGGTTCTAAGTCCAGTGCTGTTTTGACTAGGCTGCTGGGGAGGCTTATGAGCCCCCACAGAGGAAAGATGGGCGACAGTGGGCCCAATGAGAGAAACAGCCGCACCTCCTGGCACATGGTAAGGAACCACAGAGAGCCACTCAGTGCTGTCCTGGTGTCTGTGGCTCCATGCCAGTGAGCCCTGGGAGAGGTCCAAGGTCTGGGTTATTAGCAGCTGCTCCTCATCCCTGGTTCCCCATTCTGGGTTTTGTGCCCCCTACCCAAGTCTGGCTGTGTGGGGCACATAGCCCTCAGGTCTCCTTGTACCTCTGGACAAAAAGGTCACACAGGCCCTTTGGCTCATCCTCTCAGGGAAGCAAAGAGTGAGCTCTCAGCAGGGGGAGGGATGTATGGTCATCAAGCCTCAAGCAGTCCTATCACCAATTGTAAAATATCCATTGCAAATTGAACAGTGAAGTAGCCACACACAGGCTGTTACAAAGTGGGAAGTCAACTCCTCTCCCTACTTGGCTCCAGTGTGCCTTAAAAACTGTACCATGCGTTGGCAGGTATAAAGCACTCCCATGTGCAATGCACACCCACATTTTGGGCCCAAACATTCAAGAAAAAATCTTTCATTTTAAGTTTTTAATTCAAATTTTTATTTGTTTATATTTAAACACTTGTTGTTGTATTATAAAGAAATTTTGCAAAAATTAGATTAGATTGCTAGGTCCTGCTTAAAGTGTATGAAGAGAAATATGTCACTCTTCATTGGCTGAAATGCTTTCATTGCAAGTTCGTCTTAAGTTCAACAAAACCAATTACCTTATTCCAGGGCATTATTTTGCATGTGGATAGTGTTATTGCTTTCTAGAGATACACTTTTAATGCATAAGCATAAATGAAGCAATTAAAAAATGTTTATGGAGATACACGATTAGTGCTACCCATGTTTATTGTGCATCTTTGTTTTTCCCTCAAAAATCTGGGCAAAAAAATGTGCATTATACACGGGGAAATACGGTACTTTTGAAAACTAGTCACAGAGGGTTGGAGGATTGTTGGGGCCACCCCAAAGCAGCACGTCTGGACTAATTCCTGAAGAAGTAAAGGCCTTTGGAAACCAGTGTGCTTGAAGAGCCACAAGAATAACTGAGGACTGGGCCCTGAGCCACCAGGATTGGTGTCTTCCAGGGTGACTCAGAGCTTCAAAGGTCCTGGGTTCCAGGCACCACTGGCATGATGAAGAGCAGGAAGGAGCCCTGTTCAGAAGAGGAGGTGGAAACCAAGTTTATGTTTGGCAAGCAACACATGGGTGCAATTAATTCCAGCTCGTGTGAATCCTGAGACCCCAGGAAACAAAGCAGCCAAGCCTCGGGTGGAGGCCTGCGCAGCAGGAAAGCTTAGAATGAAAAGGGGCTGGCTTGTGGTCCCCAGGCTTCCAGAATGGGCTGTATTTATTCAGGGTCCCCCTGGGACTCTCATCAGGAGTGGGGCCAGCTACCCTGATGTCCTCTCTCCACACAGATGGTGCCGTGGGAGCTGAAGAGCAGTGCTGGGCTCAGCCCTCTTGTGAGTGTGAGCAATGTATAAACCTTGACACTATGGCCCCCACACAGGCAGGAGGGGCTGGCTTTCCTACAAGTGGTCAGGATGCAGGAGACCCAGCACATATCTCTATAGAAAACTTAAAAACCATTGATAAAGCAAGCGAGTCCTGAGCAAGGCCTGGGCCCTCCTTGAACCAAGCACTGTTCTGGGACGTATGCTTCAATATAATAATGTATTACGAGTTTTAATCAAGATGACACGAGTTTGTTTTGGTGCAGTGCCTTGAGGGTGAGATTATGCTATATTTGAGTTATTATAAGTGTTGCCACTTTTGAGCAATACCATTTCTGAGGATCACATCTGTCTGACTGCCCCCACTGATAAAATTACCACCTGCAGCTGACCCACAAAAGAAGTACCCTCCAGGGATGCATCCTGATGTGGAAGGGTATGCCCTGTCCCTGCTGTCACTGTAAGGACCTGCTGAAGCCCTCTACTTTGGAATCACTACCTATTTCCCAACTCCCTCCCATCCCTGCCTAGTTCCTCAGGAACTAGCTGGTTGCCAGGGTAACAGCTCAGCACCACCAGTTCTCAGGCCCCTCAGTGACCATGATTATGCCCCAGACACCTAAAATGATGAGTGTGTGTCCCCTACTCCTCCCCAAACTAGGGGCCTCCTTTGCTTCCCATTGGGTCTGGCAATGGGAAAAGGTAAGAACATGGTCTTCTCTGAGTGATGGCTTAAAGATGAGCATGAATTCCTTGCCTTTATTCCCCTGCCCTGGGTCTTGGCTACCCTCGCAACTTTAATTGGGAGAGTGACACCATGCTGGTGTCCAGTTTAGGTGTGCCCATGGAGCCTGCAGCCACCAAGTAGGGAGATCTGGCTACCCTTCCGGTAAGACCACAGGGAGAGAAAGAGGTGTCACCAGCCCTCCTGTCTCATCTGTCTGAGAGATGTGCAGTGCAACTCCTAGAGGTTATGGCCCATCTATGCAAGTCTGTGCTTTGTCCCTGTCCCATGCCTATTGAGTCTTCTTGTACATACAGTCACCTTTGAAGTACTCCCCTTGGCCATCTGGTGACCATAGTGATATTCAGCAATGAAGTATGTTTTTCTAGAATAAGTTTGCGAACTTAGTTGTCAGATCTCATACAAGGACAGCTCTGATGGCCAGAAAAAGAGTTCCAAAATAGCTTTGAAAGGTGGACTACACACTGGTGTCAGTGCATAGCATCCCAAGGGGAATACCCAGAAGGCAACGATAGTGATATTCAACAGTGAGGTATGCCGCACTTTTTCCAGAACAAGTTTGTGAACTTAATTGTCCAACCTAGTATACCTGTGCTCATTTTGCCTTTGTTTCAAGTGTCATATGAGGATTATTATTTTCTCTGAAATTCTCTGAAATTCACCCCTGTTCAAAAGAAGTACAATACTAAAATTTGTCTTCCTGTATTATAAATTACTTTCCTTTTATTTCTCCTTTAACTGTAGAGCATTACATTTATTTGGGTGGTATAGGTAGCAGTAGTGAAATCATTTCAAAATATTTGTTTTAAAAGCTGGGTACTGGGTGGGATATAGGTCAAAAGAGCTGGCCTTACTGCTCCAAGAGTGGCCTCATACCAGAGCTGGATGAAAGTGCATGCTTGCAGGACTGCCCAGATGTACTGGATAAGAATCTGCATTTGGACAGGTTCCCAGGTGGACACTCTGCTCCTGAAGGTTTGGGGGAACTGCTGTAATGTTCCTGAGCCCAGTTGCTAGGGGGTGGGCAGAGGAGCACGCCCAAGGCCTACCATGCACAGTCCTCCGTCCTCCACCCCACAGTGCAGCTGGGAAGTACCTAGGGCCATGCAGGGCAGCACTTACCCTCCAAGGCTACAGCATGGCCACTGAGCCTGCTGATCAAAATTGTGCCAGACCAAGGCCTAGGCCCTCTGGAAGCTATAGGCTCTGAGTAGAGCTGTTTGGAAAGCACCTTGGCAGCCATCACCATGGAGGGCTGAAGGAAAAGTCCTTTGGCAAAGTCAGGGCCCAGATGGCTCCAATTTTCCTGAACAGAACCCTGGGACGCTTGGGAGGAGGCTGGGGCTTGAACCTCACCTCTACCTTTGCCTGGTTTCAGGACTTCCTCAGTTGTGTTCTCTGTGAGAGGGAGCCATCCAGGCTGTGGTCCAGGAGCTCAAGAGAACACAGAAGAGCCAGGAACAGGGCCTGGCACACAGCAGGTGCTCAGACAGAGCTTTGGACAGCTGGGGGGTGGGGGGGGGGCTTTCAACCCTGGGCACATGCACGACGAGGCCATCTGGGCCCCTTCAGCCCCCAGTGGGGACTGAAGTATCCCCATTCCCTAGGGGCTCCTGTGGGGGCTGAAGGAGGGTGCCAGGTACTCCTGTGTGCCCCAGTCTGCCCTTCTTGGCTTTGCTTTACTTCCCTGGCCCTGCCCAGGGCCTGGCGGGACCTACAGCTCAAGGCAGACTCTGTCATGCTCTGAGCCCTGGCGGAGGTGCTGTCAGAGCCCACCCAGCTTGGAAGCTGCCTATGTGGCTTCCACACTCCAACAGTTCAGAGGAAAGCAGCTGCAAAACAAACGCATTTGTCCACCATGTGCTGAGCATCTGTCATGAGCCAAATTCCAGGGAGAATGGATCACATGTGTGGTCCCTGCCTTACACGCTGTCCTAAAGGGAGGCCCATACCAATGCACACATGCAATGAGCCGTCAGGGGAAGGTTCTGGAGCTGGCTTTGCAGACAGCACAGGCATACATAAAGAGTCTGCTAGGAAGGGCCTGTGCTCCAGAGAGGAGAGACTCAGGCTGCACGGGCCACATCGTGTGTTGCCAAGCATGAGGGAGTTCTCTGCTGCCCCTCTAGACCCCTGCCCACCCTACTTGGGTCCCCAGAGGCTGGCCCCTGCACCTCTGTGCTCTCCTGCCCCCTGATTTCTGATGGGAGACCTGAGTGGGGAGGAGAGAAGCTGAGGAATGCACAATCCTGGCTCCCTCCCTACCAACTCTCCCTTCTAAAAGCCCTGCTGGCCACAACCTCCCAAACCTACAGCTCTCAAGAACCCCTCCTCCTCCTCGTCCCTTGAGGTCTAAGCTGGAAACAGCTTCCTGCCAGTGCTCATCCCTGACATGCGTCCTCCCTCCCTGGTCCCCTAGCTGTGCCCACGTTCTGGGAAGAACGTCCTCCTGAAATGCTGCCCAAGTCCCCTCTGGAGTGGCCCCTCAAGCCATGACAACCACATCTAACACTTCAAACTCCATGACCTTGGGCTGATAGTGGTGATGACAACATATAATTATAACCACATGTCAACATCCATGTAGGACGTTTACTGGGAGCTAGAATATCTTAAAGATTTTGAACATCTTTCTGCTGGGAACTTAGACATCACAACACCCCTCAGGCTGGTGTGCTACTATTTCCCTGTGTCTCAGACAAGAAAAGAGAGGCAGAGGGGGCACATTATCTGCAGCACACGAGGGGGCACTGTGGGACTGGTGTCGGTCCAATTCTAGACTCAGCTCTTATCCCATCATCTCTGGGAGTGACCCTGTCCCCAGCTGTTTCGGAGATTCTGAAGGAAGGATTTAAGGAGGGCGTCTTGGAGGAAACTGACTGCAGGAGATCTACACTTGTGAAATTGAGGCTTGCTGAGAGGTGGGGACTCGGGAGAAAGCAGACTGCGTTCACAGGGAGGTTACTGACAGTCATGAGAACTACCATCCCTGAGAAAGACTGCATGAGGCAAGAAAGGGCTGAAAAAAATAGAGTCCAAGGAAACAGGGGCACTTAAAGGAAGGAGATGGAAGGGGACACTCAGACTGGACCTAGGAAGAAGGGAGAGGGGATTGTCCAAGTTCTACCTCCTGCCAGGTGAACACTCACCAGAACATGGGGTGTCGATCCCATTTCATAAATTCAGAACAGTTTAGGAACTTGTTCCAAAGCCATAATTCAACCCCAGGCTCATTTGATAGCATAGCATCATGAGAAGAGCCCCAGGAAGGGCTTCTGTCAACTGTGGCCACAGTGTATTTGAGCAGAGTCTAAGAAAACACGTCTTCTGGCTCATTTTGCTCAGCAGGCACAGGTAAAGAATCCCTGACTCATGATGTACTTTTCCTCCAAGGTAATACTTTGCCCAGCACCTCCCACCTGCCTGTGGTCAGGTTATGCTCTCATTCTAGACATGACCTTATCTGTTTTCTTACCTCTAGACTTCCTCTTGCTAAACACAGACTGCCAGATGATGGCCAGCATGAAGAGCAAAATGCTGAGGATCCCGACACAGCACACAAGGACCGCATACACGTAGAGATCTGAAAGGCAAAGGCACGTGGGCTCAGCCTGGCAGGGGCTAGATGGAGGAATGCATTGGCACAAAAACAGTCAAAAAATGCAACTTTTGAAATCCCATTACTACTGTGATCAGGGTAGTGTGTGGTGGTGGAGGGGTAAACACAGATCAACATAACAGAACAGGGAGCCCAGAAAAAGACCCACACAAGTATGTCCAGTTGATTTTTGACAAAAGTGCAGAAGCAGTTCAATGGCAGTCAATGGTGCTAAAGCAGTTAAGCTTTCACTGGCAAAAAATAAAATCAAATGTCACATATTACACAAAAATTGACTCCAAAAGAACCACAAACCTAAATGTAAAACTGTAAACTGAAAAACTCATAGAAAATACAGAAGAAAATACCCAGGATCTAAGATGAGGCCAAGAGTTCTTAGACTTGACCCCCAAAGCACCATCCATGTAAGTAAAACTTGATAAATTTGATCTCATTGAAATTTAAAACTTTGGCTACATAAACCATATGAAGAGGATGAAAAACCAAGCTATAGACCTGGAGAAAATATTTGTAAATCATATATCCAACAAAAGACTGTTATCAAGAATACAAAAACTCCCAACACTCAATAGTAAAGAATAAACAATCTTATCAGAAAAATGGGCAAAACATACACAGGTATTTCACCAAAAAGAATATACAGACAGAAAATAAGCACCAGAGACAATCTTCAATTTCCATAGCCATTACAGAAACTCAAAATGAAACCATAATAAAATATCCTATACACCTGTCACAACAGCTAAAATAAAAAAAAATCAACATCAAATGCTGGCAAGTATGTGCATAAACAGTGTCACTCAGAGATGGAGGTGGGATGGAAAATGGTATAGACACTTTGGAAAATAGTTTTAAAGTTTCTTAAAAGATAATCCCGTAACTATCATTCAACCCCGCAATTGCTCTGTGGGGCACTTGTCCCAGAAAAATGAGAAACTTAAGTTCTCTCGCAAGAACCTGTGCATGTATTTTGATAGTGAAACCACTTATATTAAAAAGTGGCAAGAACTGTGGTAGAAGCCTGATCTCTACAGAACAGGCAGAGTTACAAGTCAACTAGCCATTATTTCCTCCCTTGCCTTCCTATAATTGCTTACTGCTTAGGGGTTATGTACTCCTGTCTGTCCTAAGATTTATACTTATGAGAGCAATTATTCCCTAATTGCTTCCATAGGTAACATCACCATTGTAAAACCTAAGATTGGTCTTTGAAATATTTTTCAGACTCTGCATTCAGAGGGACTGACTGATTACTAAGCTCACCAGTGGCCGCATGGTAGAACTGACTCAATAGGTCCTGTGACCCCCCCCACCCCACGAGTAACTGTCTCAGTCAAGAAGACAATTTCTCCTTCCCAATCCTAGGAGTTCATCCCCAGCCTATTAGCAGATCCAATTCCCTAATCCTTTGTCTGCCAAATTGTCTTTAAAACCTCTGGCCCTCAAATTCTCAGGGAGACGAATTTGAATAATGCATCTCATCTCTTTGCTTGGCACGTTTTGATATCGAATTCTTTCTTTGCTGCTACCCCTGCTATCTCAACGTATTGGCTTTCTCTCATGTATCAGGCAAAGAACTCGGTTGTGTGTTACAATAGCAGTTTTATTCGTGATAGGCCCAAACAGGAAATAACCCAGATGTCCTTGAGTGGGTGATCAATGAAACAAAGTGTGGCATGTCCACCCTGTGGCACACTCAGCAATAAAAAGAACAAACTATAGACACACACAGCAACCTGGATGACTCTCCAGAGAATTCTCCTGAGTGACTAAAGGAGGGGGAGAATTTGCAAAGTTTCCTACTGTGTGATTTTATTTATGTAACATTCTCAAAATGACAAAAGCATAGAAATAGAGAACAGATTGGTGGTTGCCAGCGGTTCAAGAGGGGCTGGGGGTGGTAGGAAAATTAATTTGACTATAAGGGCCCCTTGTAGTGACAGAGATGTTTTGCAAAAACAACGGCATCACTATCCTATCCTGGTTGTGATCTTCTACATTTTTGAAAAATTCTAACATTGATAGAAATTGGGCAAAGGATACAAGAAATTGGGCCACTTCTCTGTAGAATTTCTTAGAAATGGATGTTAATCTACAATAATTTCCAAATAAAAAGCCTTTAAATCTTAACAGTTAAACCATGTTCATATGCATACATTTCTTTCTTTTTTCTTTTCTTTTTTTTTGCAGTTTTTTTGGCCAGGGCTGGGTTTGAACCCACCACCTCTGGCATATGGGGCCAGCGCCCTACTCCTTTGAGCCACAGGCGCCACCCCCAGTGATGAATTGTATCAGTGACCTGATCCATAAAATGGCAAAACCGCAGAAAGTGAAACGGGAAGCCAAAGTCATTATCTTAACCTTCTAGGAAGCAAAAGTGCTACAGATGTTTGAACCTAACACATGTATGAGCTTAGCAAACACGTTTCTCTGCTGACTGAACCCTTTCTGATCCCTATGTCAATCACCTCACCTGACATAACAATTTTCCTGTTGTCCTCTGATGTTGGAAGTTGTCCAACACATTTTTTATGCCCCTCATTCCATGACAAGGGGTTAGTGACAATGCTGATTATATTCTTTGACCCAATGATCAAACATAGTTGATCACTGGCTATACGAAGATTTGAAAACTGACAATTATTTTAGAATACACAAAGTTTATGGGAAGAGTGGACAGAGCTGATCAGTCCTATGGATGGTACAGGTTTGCAAGGAGGTCCTACCCTACAGATGGTGGAAAACATCATTCTTCTGGCTGATGGAAGTTGTGGTTGTGAACATCCTTTACTCAATAGATTAGAAGGAGGGTGGAGAGAAAGTGCAGGCACATTTCTTACAGGAGAAATCTCATCACTCAGCTTGTGAGCAATGTGAGGAATAAAAATTCAAGAAAGAGAGGAAGACCATCATCTTCTGACATTGAGGACAGGCTAAATGAGAAGATGCATTTTGTAATCCAATATGAAAAAAAAAACCAACAAACAATTGCCTGGTTTGCAGCAGAAGCAATGAAAAAAGAGGGAGGAGAGAAACTATTTTTTACTGTGAGACAAGCAAGAGGAAGCCTGGGCTTTATCCTGGAGATTACCTGAAGAATTATCACACTCAAACAAATTATCAACAAAAATGAACAAAAACATTTTATTTTATGTAACCTAAAATAGATAACAAAAGCATCAGGTGAGTTCATATTTATCCTTTTAAACTGTAGGATAATTACCAAGAATCCACCAACTTCTTTCCCTTCCCAAATAAATAAGAGCTATAGAGTATGGAGATGGCAGAAAAATTAGATTGGAAATTAAATGTCTTTAGCCAACAGATATTGTCAGCCATGGTCAGTACTCTTCCTAAGTACAGGAAATAAAGACAAACATACAAAGATTTTCTCTCCAAGACATTAGAACAGACAATCCCATCTATTACTGGGCAAGAGACAGGAAAAGAAGAACCTGGGACAGATAAATGGCCAACAAACATATGAAAAACTGCTTATCACCCCAAATCATCAGAGAAATGCAAGTCAAAACCACCCCAAGATATCACCTAACCCCAGTGAGAATGGCCCACATCACAAAGTCCCAAAGCTGCAGATGCTGGCGTGGATGTGGACAGAAGGGAACACTATTACAGTGCTGGTGAGACTGCAAACTAATACAGCCTTTTTGGAAGGGAGTATGGAGAATCCTCAAGGAACTCAAAATACACCTTCCATTTGATCCTGCAATCCCATTACTAAGCACCAACCCAGAAGGAAAAAAAAATCATTTTATGATAAGGAATGATTTTCACTAGATTTTTTATCATAGCTCAATTTATAATTGCCAAGATGTGGAAGCAATGTAACTGGCCATCAACCCAGGAATGGATTAACATACTGTGGTATAGGTCTACCGTGGAATACTATACAGCCATAAAAACATAGGGAATTTACAGTTTTGCATTAACCTGGATGGAGCTGAAACACATCCTTCTTAGTAAAGTATCACAAGAATGGAAAAGCAAGTGTCAAGTGTACTCAATACTAATATGAAGCCTGTAGACTATGGAATACATGCCCACACAAGAGAAAACCTCAATTTAATTTAAAGTTGCAGAGAGGGGACAGAAGACGGGGTAGAGGAGTAGAGGGAAGGGGATTTGTGTGCTCCCACGAATGGGCACAATGTAAGGTGAACATGGCACACCTTCTGGGTGAAGGGCACAACTACAACAGGGACTTTACCCAACAGATGCAAACATTGCAACCTAATCATTTGTACTCTCATATTAATCTGAAATTTTTTAAAAAAGAAAAAACAAAGAAATCAGAGAACAACATGGTAATGGCAACAATAGGCACATGTGTCTCATACTGGGCACTGAGCAGGCTGGGAGAGGCTTCCCAGAGACTGGAGTTCTGCTCTGGGTTGTATTTAAAGCAACACAAACCATGGAATACTATGCAGCCCTAAAGAAAAATGGAGACTTTACCTCCTTCATGTTTACATGGATGGAACTGGAAAATGTTCTTCTTAGCAAAGTAGCACAGGAGTGGAAGAAAAAGTATCCAATGTACACAGCCCTTTTATGAAACTAATTTATAGCTCTCAAATGAAAGTTACAACTTAATTCTAACCTAAAAATATGAGGAAGGGGTGGGGAAGGGGAGGGGAGAAGGGTGGCAGGGTGGTGGGAGGGTGACTGGAAAGATCACCTATATGGTCTATCTAACAAGGGTACAAGTGAACTTTTCTAGAACTAGAGTATAAATGTTTTGACACAATGACTAAGCAAATGACATGAAGTCTATGTTAACCAGCTTGATGAAAGTATTTCAAATTGTATATGAAAACACTACACTGTACCCCATGTTTGCATTAATGTATACAGCTATCATTTAATTTAAAAAAAATGTATAGAGAGGGGGCAGCACCTGTGGCTGGCTCAAAGGAGTAGGGCGCCACCTGTGGCTCAAAGGA